AAAAATCCCGGAAATTACATCATAGTTCCTTTCACTTTCTCCTGGTCTTCCCTCGGGCAACGGGAGCCAAAAGCTCCCGCAACAGTTTCGAACCGACGCTCTGCATGTCAACTTTGTTTCTGTTTTTCCTTTGCTTTTGGACTTGCATAAATGCACGAATAAAATTCAAGGACTCGATTGGTACACACTTTTGTAGTATGAGTGACCTTCAAGCACACAGTGTTTTCTTCAACTTGAGAAACGAAACGTGCAGTCGGCAGGAAACTGAGTGCAGTTATATTTTTGGTTCGTCGCCGTCGACGCAAAAATAAAAGTTTCCACTAAAAATGCCGAAAAGTTGGATAATGTAAAATTTTGTTTATGTGATGAGTGCTTTTGCAGTAAGAGCAAATAATTTTATCTGACTGTAATGTTCGTACAGCACGTGACCGAGTGTAATAAATAATGGTGAAAAATTTGAACAGGATTTTAAAAATGTTTATCTATTTAGCAGTTTGAATATTTCGCGTACCTGTATTTCACAAGTGTGACGTTTCTTTTCCGAGCAAAACTGTTCACCATTTAATAGAATCTATTTACAACGAGTCTCGTTGTAACAAATTAAGGTTTACAACGAATTTGTTTTTGAAAGTCCCGCCTGTCGAATAGCCGCCATGAAATTTTAATTTTGTTTCAACGAATTTTTGTTTGTAATGAAGCTTCTTCTAACGTCTCAAACGCTTCGTTCTAACGAGATTCTACTGTATTTAAGCCTCTCACTTTGCATGTGTTGTCTGTGTTTCATGTACAGTACTTGCCATTTGATAACTGTCAAAATGTGAGGAATCTGACAATATTTCGAAGCTGAAATGTTGAATAAAAGTAAAAGACGCACGTTATTCAAATAATATGTTTATTGCTTGAATATAAATCCCATTTGCAGACGAACAGCGGGGCTGTGACTATTTTAATTCATCCAAATCATAAAACTATTATTGCACGCTATGTTTAAAAAAATTAAAGTATCAGTAATTTTGCAACCGTGGTCTTTACAATTTATTCCGATTCTTTCTCTTCCACTTTCTTCCACGTGGATTCAAGTTATTACATTTATTCGTAAAATTACCGAAGGGCCATGTGGTCACTTTCGTTCAATTTCTGGCAACCGGAGCCTGAAGAAAATTGTGTGTTTATCTTTTTTAGAGAAACTGGGACGTAAAAGTTTCTCGGGTCATCTGTGGTTTGAATAGAAGCAGTTTTGAATGGAGTCGCGTCACACATGACAAAGCAGCTTTTATCTTCCTTTCCACTCTCTTTCGATATTTTTCTAGTTCTTTCTTTTTTTCAATAAGATTCATGTGGGTCAGAATTTTATAATCTAGATCGATGTGGACATGATGTACATTTTAAAAGGCTGAGAAAAGCGGAGCTGTTTTGGATAAATCGTGAAATTTACCAACTATAAGACCACCGACATCCTAGCTGTTGTCTTGGCTGTCTGCTCGTTCAAAGTTTTTTTTTTTTAATCATTCTGTCATTTTTTCATGTGTTTTTCCTTCATAATAATTTGTATCCAAGAGGTGAAAATATTTTAAGGCCTGCTTCTTTTAATTTCAACAGGTCTCGAAAATCCGAAGTCACTATGAAGCCAAGTGACCGACATTTATTTGCGGTGAGTCCGAAAAGAAAACATTTTGAATTTTTGGAAGGATCTTTTTCTGGCCGATTTTTTTTTTAGACACAGAAAATGTGGCCGATTCTTCATGCTAAATTTGTTTTTTTACAATGGGAAGCAGGACTTTAATTTTTTATATTTTTCAGTTCGGAAGAAAATCGAGTTGGTGTTTATTGATGCTCGTGTTGCTGATATTGACCATGATGAGCATTTTGCCACAGAGTACAGAAGCAGCAGGCAAAGGTCCAGTGAAATCCGTCCATAAGTTGTATCCATATTATTGGAAGTGAGTTTTACTATTTTATTTCATTTTATTTGTTTATTTATGTCATGATTTTAATTCGAAACCCTTGTTCAGGTCAAAGATCCGCTACCCATACTACGACAAATACGGTCGTGGAAAATTGCTGTATGGTTATGGAGGACCTGATCTTTACGAATACACTGCCTTTAAACCCATTGATGGTTATTATAAGAAATGAGAAAATTCGCTTGTATTTTTATCTGTTTTTTCTGAGTGGAAATTTTGTTATTTATTATACCGTATTTGTTTCATTTTCGATCGTTGATTATGTCACGTTCCGTTGGGATCGAATCGGACCAGTTTTTTGTTTCAAGATGAGAGTCGATTCTGAGGATTTTTTTGGCACGACAAATTTCTTAGTTGTTTTAATTTTTGGGCAAATATATCGACGATGAACCGAATGAGAAATGTTTTGCAAGTCATTCCTTTTCTTCTCTGCTTCTCGGCGAAAGGCGAATAATTGCGTTGTCAGCTTCATTTGTTCAAGACAAAAGTGTGAAATTATCCTACGTGGTAAATAACGGTCAAATATATGCTAAGACGTCACATCATGGATACATTATACTTATTTTGTCATCTTTGCAACGATTCCAAGCGAATATTTGAGGGAAAGTGCGGTGATATCAAATACGAGATTCCCTGGCAGTGACGGATGAAATATATCTTTATTGAATTAGAGGATTATTGGCACTTTGTTATGTTAAACATTGACGGAAGGATTTTCCATGTAACCGAACCCAGTGTACGTGATCTCCTGCCTCGTCGGGTAACTGAAACCCCTTGTCCATCAACTCAGTCGGGTTCGGAAGGAAGTAGCGCAATGGTCACTTCGTTTTCACTGCTTGCTGTGTTTCTAACCCAAATTATTTTCTTGTGGAATTTGGCTTCCTGCAATCCGAGGAATTCTTTGTCAAGTGAAAATGTTTATGAATGGGGCGAGTTCCGGGTCGGGTACGAATTTTTTCCAAGAGTT